AATTTTTTTCAAAAATAAAACAAAATTAAATAATAGATTGCTAAATATACAAAATTAATTTATGAAAATGACTAAATAAGACAACTGGAAAACTTCTAAAATATCATGGACATGGTATATCTGTATGAGCAAATAATCCATCTCTTTAGTTTCCAAGAGCTTTCGAAACGCTAAATGCTGTTTCCAAATCACGAATTGAAAAAATAGTACGTAACAGTAGATGGTACTGAATTCTGACAGTATCAAATAAGTGAAAGAATTGTTTAACATATATCAATCTGATTAGCTGCACTTGACAGACTGTTAATTATTGAAATTTTGTATTTAGTCACTAGAAGGAGACACACCTGGATACTCTGATGCAGCCAGCACTTTCAATTACAGGAAACGGAGTCACTGCTTACTATTAGTGTTTCTTGGCTTTATCCGACTGGGCACAGATAGGCTTTATATATAGATTCCTTCTGATAAAATTTTAAAACCAGGTTCCATATGATATGCTTGTTAAACTTTTTGTGATTTAAAATGAATGTAGTACTTGGTATTTGAAATTTAAAAGCACGTCACGTTCTTAATAATTTAAATCTTCATTTAGTTGTGTAGTTGTGAATCTTGTGTCTAATTGATAATAATTCAAATGCACTTTGTTTGTAATAAATCCACTAATAATTCTTATGAACATTTGCACTTTGTTGTAATTAACAAATGATATATATAATGCTGTATTTCTAATGTATTTTAATGTGTGTTTTACAATTTTTAATATTTTCTAATTAGTTTAAACTTTTTGATGGTAACCTCATCTTCGAGTCCTTATGCTGCAATCTAAAGTTCTCAGTTTGTAATATTTTTTATTTTAAACAGTAATAAACAAAATAAGATGAGATGTATTGTGAAAGGGTGATTGTCTGGGCTTGATTGGAATAGTACGTATTAGAAGACGATTAGTACAGAATCTAATTTTTATAATGTCTGTTATGTAGTTAGAGTTACAAATTAAAATCTAATTGATATCTTTAGAAAATAAAAATCAAACGGTTTGCTGTGGTTCTTTATGTTCAAACTAGAAAATTACCGTTTTTGCTGGCATATAAGACGTACCCCCATTTTTATACACATTTTATACACCAACATTTCTTAGATTCTACTTGTACTCTATATACATCACAATAAAATAGAAGGTCCGTGCCATCCATATATTCATTGTAACTTCTGATGCATTTAGGCTGATTTATGGATACAGATATATTTTGTTTTCTTTAGTACATCTTGCTTACTGAAGGTGGATAAATTGTCAACGTTTGTTGTCATAGCTATAATGAAATAGTCATTCCAACAAATTACTGCGATGGCATATTCTTTATTAAATGCAGTGTCATATGTTCCACATTCTTCTGTCTCTATTTTGTTTACAGGTACAATAGGAAAACTTCCTATCTGCACTCAAAAATTGTTCCAGCTGCATGAAATTTCAGTTCATTTAGTTCAAACAACATGTGTGACGTAAAAAGTTTGTCGAAATACATGTATTGGTTTGAAAAACTTCCACCACACTTAAAAAAATCTGTTATAACATCTTCACCTAGTCTAAAATCAGTCAGTGTTAATTTAGAAGTTGTGTTATTGTATCATATTAATACATAATATTGATATTCAATATTTGTTCAGTATGTTATTGTATCTTAATCAGTCAGTGTCTTTGAAACGTTTCCTGAATATGTATAAAAATGATGTAAATGCTCTTCACTCACAAAACACCAGACTTTGTATTCGAAATGAACGGATTTTCCTTTGTACAGGCAACAGTTTTTCCAAGTAATTTCCTTTTTCCTTGTTTAAATAATTCAGAATTTTTTAAAATTATTTTTTGATAAATTCAATATATTTCTACATTTTTTAATGAAACAGTCTCAATCTCACCTGATACATCTTTCAGAATTTACAAATTATCACGTAACACATCAATATCAATATATTCTTATCGGTTACAATGTCTGACTCTGGGGGGAACATTACAGTCAAAAGTCTTTAATCTGGACTCATAGGGACTTCGGCGATTCCAGATTATCAATTTTTCCGGATTATAGATCATCAGTTTAAATCTGGTAAGATGGCATGCAGAAATTATAAAATTAAAACTATGAAACCGTAATTTATAAAATAATGAGCAATTATGATCTAAAGGGTATCAAAATTTACAAAAAAAGAAGCTTAATATTTATTTGTTTACTTTATTAAACATTTCTTTCAATGCGTGCATGCGTAAAGCATACATTACGCATAGCCGAAATTAGAAAATTGCAACCAGAAAACTATTTGATTTATATTCGTGATATTTATCATGACGAGGAATTTGATTTAAATTATATCAAAGATGGAGTACATCGAGATGAAATACTACATTTAGTAAGGAATTATAAACCGAATAAAATAAAAACATCTGCCCTGAAGATAACAATAGTGCTGACAGATCAACTTCCAGTTCATTGCGCGCCGCGACGTTCCCCCCTCCCCCGTGCAGAGCAGCGTGAAATTGATAAACAGATTTCGGAACGGTTAGATAAACAAAGGATATGCCTTTATCCATTTTTTGTAGCAATTCCACTTTTTGTTTGATGGACATCGAAACACACTTTCGTTTTGCAGATCCTTTGGGAGCTCCAGCATCAGAAATTCTATTTGACATAATCGAAAGTTCAAGCTTACATTTATAAAATTGCTCTTACAGTCTGCAAAAAATAATAAGCCGGATCCAATTCGAAGATTAATTAACAATGCAATCATCAACATTAACTGAAATAGATAATTAGATAATATTAGCTTATACCGTCCGTTATACATTAAACGCGCACGCGAAAACGTATTCTGCGCTTGCGCACACGCATATGCGCAGTTGTAAAGGTCTTGCGCGCACACGCAAACGCCTATGCGCATGCGTCAACGCGGCGCATGCGCAGAAAGATTTTAGCTTTGAGGTCCGGATTATGGGTGTCCAAATTAACAACTTTTGACTGTATTAAATCTATTTCTCTTCATCCATCATCATTTGAAAGTTTTAAAACATAATGCTCATCTAACTCCTTCATAAATTATAATGCTTCATTCTACATTAAAAACTGTTGTCTTTGATATTCATTATTTTGGGAATCTGTTTTAAAAAATATCGCTGTCTGTGAAAATCTGTGTCTATTTATAAGAACATTGCGTTTTCACAACATTTTGAAGAATGCATATTTATATCAACAAATGCTAGAAAGAATAAATGATGATTTCCCTGGTTGACATGAGGGATATAGTTTATCGAGTAGGTGTGAAATGAACGATGTTTTGGTTTGAGATGTATGCCTAGCAAAAAATATAACCACAGAGCCAAATTTTTTAATGATACCTGATAAGTGATGGTATCTTCAGTATGCAGGTATTTTATTTAGTGCTGATGTGAAATTAAGAATCTGGAATCCACATATTTTATTATAAAAAAATATCAATTGTGCGTGCTTTAAGCAAAGCTCCCCCCCCCCAAATTGACATTGTTGGTAGTTTGGAGGTTCAAATTTTAGACCATTTCAGTTATTGGACATCTGGATTTCCGACTTTGTGTTGTATTATTATTTTGTTGCTCCTAAATAGCTGGGAAATGTGCACTTTGGAAAGATTTTCTTTCAATAAAGAGGAGTAATAAAAGAACTGATTAATCCCAGTGTCTTTCATAAATTCTAAAGATTTTGCTTTCCTTATTTTGTTTCTTGGTGCTTCTTAAACTTTTGCTGCTAGATTAGGGCATACCAGTTCTGGTGCTGTTCCTGGGCTTATCTGAATAACAAATCAATAATTCTCAGTTCAAATCTTACTCAATTGTTTAGCTTGTGAATATCATTTATAAAATCTGCTTTTTGTATATAGAAATTTTTTCAAATTTCTCCCTATCAATACACTCTACACTTCACTGCACAGTTACCTGAAGTCTGAAATCATTAGCATTATAACATGAAAGTTAACCTTACCCTTTGGTATTCATTAACATACATTAAAAAATTTTTAGATATTGTTGTTGCATGAGTCATTTCTCAAGTTGCGATGTGTTGATAATTGTGTGGTGATGAAAGCTAGAAATAGTAAATGATGATCCCCCAGGTTGGCGTGAGGGATACAGTCTATAACAGTCTATACAGTCTGTAATATGTGAAATAAACGATGTTTTGGTTTGAGATGTATGACTAGCAAAAATATGACCATAGAGCTAAATTTTTTGTCATACCGGTTAATACTGATAAATGATTGTTTCTTCAAGATGGAGGTATTTAGTGCTGAAGTGAAACTCAAGCTGGACTCCACATGTTTTATTATGAAAAAATATCAAATGCGCACTCTTTAAGCATACCCAAAAAATATTAGTATTTGAAAATTAACAAAATGCAAGTTTGGAAATTATTAATTTGATCTAAATTTATACAGATATAAATGAAATTTGGTTGCCAATTTTATTTCCGTGTTATTATTCACTTTTGCTTAATATTTTTTGTCATCTTCCTCCCCATAAAGGACTAACACTTTTTCTGATTAATTTTATTTAATTTGTTGATATAAAATTGGTTACCTGTTGTTGTGCCAGTGGTAATTGTGGAAATGACTGAAGATGAGGTATTTATTTTTCTTTTAATTGTTATTCATCACTATAAGTAACAAAAGGGTGTGTTCTTCATAGTAACTTGAACGACCTTGAGTTTTTATAAATGTTTAAATTTCATTTCTTATGTAATGGAGGTAGGCAGTTATTCTTTATTAAATGTAAAACAAATGCCTATACTTTGAAAACGTTATAATATTATAATAATAATATATAAGAACATCTTAATAATGAATGTGAAATTTGTCCATGGAATGAAAGGGAAAAAAATTACTTGTCCATCTTATCCATTTGTTACAATTTTTTAAATTATGGCTTTGTTTAAATGTGTCCTTATTAAAATCTTTTGAAGGCCACCCATTTTATTTTGCAGTTAGATTTAGCAAAGTCTGCCGTAAAGCGTCTTAAAACTTTACGACACCCAAGCATATTGACATATTTAGACAGTTTAGAAGTAAGTGTTAAAAAGTTACTTTATATATATATATATTTATATAGTGTTTAAATTGTCAGTTTTTCATTAAGGATTATACAATTAAAATAATTATTGTTTATGAAAATGATAATACAGGATGAAAATTGTATGAAAATTGTTAGTTTATATTTTATAATAGCTTATATATTATTTCTTTGTATATAACAAAATTGGGTATTTTTTAATTTCTGCACCTCCACCAAAAAGCCTTGAAAATGTATATAGAAGGTAAAGCAGTATGTCACCAAAACAGCTATGTGGTAACCAACAGTGTCAGAAAAATATTTTATTTAGCAACCTAGGTACACGCATAGCCTATGTCTGTTTTGGCTAGTGCAATATGCAGAAGTTGTCTGGAGCCTTGTGTAGCTTTCTGTGGTTTTTTTTAATGAAAACATATTACTATGTACATGGGGAAAACAAAAGCACCAGAAATATGCATTTCTTGAATAAAATAAGTATTTTATTGCCAACATTTTTTCTTTTACATTTTTATTGATTGAATGCTCTTGCATGGAATTCTTAATTCACTGCCAATTTGAAAATGGCTGTTGTCTTTTATGCATAAACTTGATAAAAAAATTAGTTGGTTAAAAGTTTGCTAATGTTGTCCAAAGTTACCAACAAGTTAATGATTTTATGAAGGGCTGCAGATAATCAGAAAATGCCAAAATTCGTCTAGATTCATACTGTATGATTTTCTGAAGCAAATTTTAAAAAAATGAGAATTATTATGGAAATCTTTGTTATAGTTAAATGTTGTTAACTTGTGCTTTTCTTGTTTTTTTTTTCCATTGTTTGTTGGATTATAAGACATAATTTGTAAACTAATATTTTACATTTGCATTTGATGTTTTTAGTATTTCATTTAATTATCCACACCCATACCTACAAGACTTTGGAAAATTGCAGACTCAGTGCCGTCTTTAGAGAGCATTTGCAAACTCGTGATGACTTTGAAGAGAAATGTTTAGGTACTCTTCTGTTATCAGACTGGATTCACAAGTATATGCATGTGCATACATATATATGTGTGTTTACACATACATATATATGTAAACATATATATATAACACATACATATATATGTGTGTTTACACATACATATATATGTGTGTGCATACATGAACTTGTACACTCATGCATACATGCATTATATTTTTGGATCTTGTCCTGTACCAATGTTTGTTTCGGTATCTATTTCAGTGATGTATCCAGTGCCACTTATTTTTTTTTTATTCAGCGCAGGCATGTTTCTCAATTTTGTATGGTGTTAATCTCCCTTATGTGCACAGTAAACTGTCCCCCCCCAAAAAAAAAATTAGAAATTTGCTCAGCATCGTGCACAATCTTGGCACCAAAATACTAAATGACGCCTTTAAGCAAGTCACATTATGTGTGCAGAAGGCCAAATCTAAGATTTTGCTAAAGACTATGGAAACTGCAATATGAGGTCCACCGCTATGCTAAATTACTGAAATTCTTATAAGAGGGTGTAGTATCTGCTCACTGTTTGGCGATCAACAAAGCACACCTGGCACATGTAGCCTCTTCTCCAAGGAGGGTGGGTTACTGTATTTTAGGAAAGTTGCGTGTTAGCCTCAGAAGAGAAAGGTACAAGATTTTGCTATGCTGTTTAAGCAACTTCATCTGATATCTATAATTGTATTGAGAATTGGCATGCAAGTGACAATCCCTCACTTTCAGACCATCACCTTATACATTTGCATATTAGGGATAAAATTCCATCTGAATTTTTCAGAAACATTAAAAACACAAATTCGGATCTTTATAAGGACTTCTTGGTTTCTAATGTCATTAACCTTCAGGCTTTAGACAATTATTGTTCAGTTGAGGAGCTTGATATCCAAGCAAACAACCTGACAAATATCATTATTGAATAGTATCATGCTCTCTCAAACAAAGGAAGTACTCTTCTAGCAAGAGAGTCTGGTGGACCAATGCAGAAATAAATCTGAAGTTAACTGGTCTAACTTTAAAATCCTACAAAGGAAATTTAGAAGTGAAATCAGCAAAAACCAAATCCAACTCGTGGAGATTTTTCCGCACAGATATTCAGTTCTACCATGAGACTGCCAGAGTGCGTAAGATTTGTAAGAGGTCTCAGAAATCTCAAATCTTATCAGTTATGTGACCAGATGGCAGTTATACTATAAACTCTCTGGATACACTATTGACCATGCTTAATTTTCACTTGGGGGACACAAGTGTCACCTCTGATCCCCATGAAAACTTATTGGAACTCCTTCATAGTCCATTAGATTCGGATTTTGCTAAAACAATAGTGAACTTTGAAAAGGCTAAAGCGCCCTAGATGTATTTCTTCCCTTTAAATCTCCAGGAAATGATGGCATTTACCCAATTCTGCTCCAGAAAGGTTGGGACATTTTTGGCCACATTTTCGTGGACATATTCGAATCCAGCTTGGTTTTATGAAGGAATGGAGAACTTCACAAGGTGTGTTTCTCCCCAAACCAGGAAAAGATACATATGAGAAACGAAACTCATTTAGAATGATCACGTTAACATCCTTCCAGCTTAAACTGTTGGAGCAATTGATTTTCTGGCATCTCCAGTCAGATAACAATCTGAACCATATTTTTGACTTAGACCTGGCTTCTCCGCTGAGTCGGCCCTATACCAACTGGGGTGGAGAATAAAAAAAAAACAACTATAGATGGACACTTTGCCATTGGGATTCTACTGGATAATGTAGGAGCCTTTGATAACATCGGCATTGAGGAAATACATAAAGCTCCCATTGGAAGTTATATTCACCCTATGATAACTAGATGAGTCATCTTTATGATTAAAAACAGGAATATCTGCATTAGTCTCACTGACTGTGAAGTAAAGAGAGATATTACTAAAGGGTGTCCACAGAGTGGTATTCTTTCTTCGTTCCTGTGCAACCTGGTATTCAACTCACTCTTAGTACTTCTACGGGAGGAACCTGGCATGTCACAGGCTTATGCAGATGACCTTATTGTGTTACTACAGGGTTTCGATATCGGAACCCTACACAATCAAGCTCAGCACATCTTGAATAAAGTTTCACACTGGGGTGAAACAAATGGCCTATCTTTCTCTGCTGAAAAATTTGAGGTCATAGTTTTCACGTGGAGAAGGAAATGGAAACTGGCAGATTTATATCTGGATAACCAGATTATCAGACGTAAGGAATGCGTTAAATACCTAGGATGATACCTGGACAGTAAACTTACATGGATCACCCATATAAAAGAAAAGGCACAAACAGCCACAAATGTACTAATGCTTTGCAGGTGAATCATTGGCAAACAATGGGACCTTAACCCAAAATCAACTCTATGGATTTAAACTGCCATAGTCCGGCCAGTGCTTTCTTACGGACGCGGTCTGGATGTTATTAACAAAAGCACATATGTAAACAATTTACAGAAGGTGCAAAGACTTGCTGGCCTATGCATTAATGGGGCTTTAAACAGTACCCCTACTGTCGCATTAGAATTTTTATTGCAAATTCCAACCTTGAAACTGTTTTTGAGTGGAAAAGCAATTAAAAGCCATGTATAGGTTTAATAAAATGGCACAGGGTGCCAAAGGACAGGTTTCGGTCATAAAAGCCACCTGAAAAGCCACATTGACATATGCCTGGACTTGGGCAATGAGATCCCTATAATCTATATGCCCAAGGATGTAATTACTAAAACAGTAGTTCCAGATAAACTATTCTAAACTTATATACCAAAAAGGAGTGAGATAGAATCTCTAATTGACCTAATCCCAACAGGATCAGTTGAATGCTATACAGATGGATCAAAATCCAACTTCACTGGAGCTGGAGCCATTATAAGAACCAAGGGATTTGGAGAAGATTTCATTATATTTCATCTATACCTGGGTAAACTAACAACTGTTTTTCAAGCTGAGGTTCTGGCATTCAATATGGTCGCCAGGGAGCTCTTAGCTAAAAATGTCGTTGACAAGAATATATATGTTCTCTCTGACAGCCAATCAGCCATCCTTGCACTGGCTAATCGTGTCAAGTTACAAAACTGTGTTTTGAAATGTACTCAAGATCTCAATTCTCTGGCTCAGGCCCATAATACCATTAGTTTAGTCTGTGTCTCAGGTCATTGTGATTTTGCTGGAAATGAACTAGCTGATAAAGTAGCTAAAGACGCTTCGCAATTACCCATGTCTGGCCCAGAACCATTTTACCCAGTTTCATATCAAACTGTTAAAAAAGAAGTAAGAAGCTGGATAAAGAACAAACATGATGATATATGGTCTAAATTTCCAGACTGTGCTCATTCTAAATTGGTGCTCAGTACACTTAACTTATCAGGTAAACTCATACACCTCAGTAAAACTAACTTATGCCAGGTAATTCAAATTGTTACCGGACATGCTTATCTGGCCAAGCATCTCCATAAATGTGGTCTTGTCGAATCTCCTCTCTGCCCAGTTTGTGGAGAAGAAGAGGAAACACTTTTTCACTTTCTGGGACAATGTCCGGTGTTTTCTGTCCTAGAAACAAATTCCTTGGGTTTCAATATATCAGCTTCGATCAGGCCCATCTATACAAGGGCAGTCTGGCATAATAGGGTTCCTAATGTATGCTAAATGCCTACAGGTAAGGTGAATTTGAAACCACAAGAACAAGCAAAACACACAGATGCTCTGTGTGTCCCTTATATATATATATAGATATAGATATAGATATATAAAAGAAACTATGCAAGGAATTCCCTCTCACAGCTATGTTTTGGAATATAAATATAGATATCAAATCTATATACACCACCTGGCCGTATAGCTTAAGGAAGTACCTCTGTCCTCCTTATTTAATTTATTTTTCAGACTCACCTTCGCACCCTTGTTTAGTCAAGAGTTTGCGTTTGGTGGTTTGGGAGGGATTGAATTGGCTCTTCATCCAATTGGGATATTTTAACGATTTATCCGACCCCCTGAATTTAGAGATGGGATCTTTTACTAATACTATATATTTGGTGGCAGTTTAGGATCTTATCTACTTATTTACTTTACACGGGAATAACCATTTAAAATCTTTGTTTTAAATGTTCAAATGGCAGAAGAGTAATGGGCAACATTGCCTAAGCTCTTTTCCTTCTTTTTATAAGAAGGAAGCGCCACTATTGTTATATATTATGCTGTAGGAGCGATGTACTGCTGTGAGTTTAATATCATGCTTTGAATGTTACCTTAATAAATGTTTGTTTCGTCTTGTTAAATGGTGCCTTACTGAACCACGAAGCCATTGCAGAGGGAAGATGATCTAGTCACATTGACAAAAATGTTCTGTGAAGTGGAAATCCATCTGAGGAAATGTTATGCACGTACCTGAGTTATGTAAGCTTTATGTATAATAATCTTTAAATTATGTTCACTGCCATATACCACATCATTATTATAAAGAATTTTGTCTTTTTATACAGTGGCCAGCCCACCAGCGGCTGTGCGGTAAAATCGCTGAACTCTGATAATTCCAACCTGCATTCAATTCCAGGCAAGTTGGCTGGCTGCATAGATATTTTTGTGGTTTTCCCCACCTGTAACATTTGTATGAGCCAATTTCCCTTAGTAAGTCCTCCGTGAAGGCTTCTCTTCCCTTAAGCAGATAGCTCTAGTGTGCTTCGTCGTAATCAACTAAACCAACCAAACAGTGACAAACTTGCGTAAGAATGTTGCTTCATTATGCCAGAACACTGAGATGAAGTGTTTCCAACATATTTCTATGCAAAGCAAGTTTTAACTGTGTACAAAGTAAATTAGAAAAATGATTTTAAATAAAATTTCCCTAAATATAATAAAAATAAGTTTTTTTTCTATTTGTAAAACAATTTCTGTGTGTATTGTATTATGAAGAGAACTTATTTCAATGATTATATCATTAATGCATAACTAAATTTGTTGTTTTGATTATTTCATTTTAAGTATGCCTATCTGTCATAATATTTTATGAAATACTAAATTATGCTGAAGTATTTAAGTAAGCAGGTTTCTAATTTTGAATCATCAACTTTCCCCCCTCCTTCTAGACGGATAAACTTATTTATTTAGTGGTGGAAACAGTTGAACCCTTAGAATTGCATCTTTCAAAAAGTACTTATGATCCAGCTCAAAGAAATTTGGCACTTTCATGGGGATTATATCAAATAGCTGTAAGTAATGAAATTTTCTGCATTATGTAAGAAAAGCTTTTAAAATTATTTCTATAATTGCACCAAACATTTATTTGTATTATTTGAATGTTAGAAATGTTAGTTGAATGCATTATAAATTCAAACATATTAATGAATTATTAAAATTGATCTTGTAGCTTTCAGCTAAATGTACATAGAAAAATCAAAAAGTTCGACAATATGGCATGTAGTTCCTTATCATAAAAAGTTTAAGTAAGGGCAATTCCAGAAAGCTCATGAATTGTGATCACTATTCAATACCATTTTTATTAGTAGATTAGACTTGAGTTTCCGGTCAAAAATAGCCATCTTCACATTCTGTATGTTTCCAGAACTGCAGCGACAATTCAAATACAGGTTAGAGACTTCTATGAGACTCAGTGTAAGATAGTAGATATGGTAGCTTTTACTTTTGTTCTGTACTTAATGTAGAAATCCAAATTTACAAGCAAATTTCAGTTTTATATGTTCTTAGAAAATTATTAGCAAGTTCTAAGTAACCTCATGTTTTTAACATTTGCACAAAGTTTGAGTTTCAAAAGAAGGAACTTGTTCGAGTTTCAAAGTCTCAGTTTGAAAAGAAGTCCAGCAAGAAAATAATACATTTATTATAATTTCCTTACAACATATACAGAGGGTGTTCATACATTTTTGATGAAGGGAAAGAAACGTCAAAAGTTTACATCTGACTGATTTTTGTTGTTTGATTTCTGAATTAGTATTTGTTCGGCGTGTTATTGTGTCTTAATCCTCACTATGTTAAGTTCCATCAGGATAAGGCTCCACGCTTTAAATCTACTGTTCTGTTTTTTGAAAAAATGAGAAATGAAACTGGAATTGAAGCTATTCCTTTTAAATGCTTTAAGGTTTGTTTATATATGAATCTTTGCAAAATCGTTACAAAAATGGGTGAACACCCTCTGTATATCATTCCAACAATAACTACATTTCATCCATCTTTCACAGTTACCAGTTCTTGTTTTCAGGTTTGATTCTCATGCAACATCAAGCATTGTCGCCACACAATAAAATAGAAAGTACGCATTTTAAAAAGAATATCAAGACCAAAAAACAAACAGAATAAAACTTAATTTCCCTACTTTCAGTTATTGTGGTGAAGAGAAACGATTATTACTCAATTCTCATTCAGAGTGAGAAAGTGATACGTCCTACACTCTTTTTGGGTTAGTGGCAAGCAACTCAAAAACATAAGTCACTCTATTGTAGAGATCAAGTCTTTGAAGTGTGTTAATAAGATGTCCCGGTGAAATAAATTTCCTTTTAATTAAATAAAAATCAATTTGATCTTTTTCTTATTATCTTCCTTGCTACTGTCGCTAACAGTGAGAAAACTTTGTCACTGCTCACATGGCAAATTAAGAAAAGTGTCCTTACATTCCTCCTTTAGATCTCCAGAAATTCATTTCTTGAGTTTTTAATTTTACTGTGCAAACTTTGCCATCATGGCCAGGAATGTTACTGAATAACTTTTGCCGAAGGCCTATTCGGGCATTTTTTTAAAAATCAGCTCCAACCAGGACAATTTCTCCAATTTTAGGCTGCAGTGTTACATTATTCAGTGTGCATTTCAATATTAATTGACCTAAATATTCTTTGCAGAAATGCCTCCTGAAAGCACTGAATATTTCACATGGTATCTACACTCAGTGTCTAGAAAAGATCTATTTGGACTCATGTCCAAATTATTTTTGGACAAGTAAATTATTTTTACTTGCCCCAAAATAATAAATATTTCATATAACATCTAATCAATGTAATCCATTTTTGCAGGGAAAATGTGAAAGGCATCCTTAATTAGTGTTATCTAATAAAAATGACAGAAATGAAAGTACAAGTCATCGTGTTATGTCATCTAATGGTGAAGCAAGCACTTTGCACAAAGTTAATGTCTGAATGAATTTCTGGAATACAGTGTTTTATATCCATCTGTTAGGACTCGAAACTTTTTGTTATGACTGCATAGTATTGTTTGGAAGAATCTGTGAAATGATGAATCATCAGCCGTTTAGAAGCAGGACAGACAATCATGGAAGCAGTGATGTGCCTGAATATTTCAAGACAGTCAGTTTCTGTGCTATGGAAACAATTCCAGAACTCTGGGACTGTTGTAAGAAAGCCTGAATAAGGTCATAAATCTATGTCAACTGCTTTTCAAGATCGACAACTGGCAATACCTTGACATCTTAATGTAAAGTCTGTTTGGCAATTAAGTTCAGAGCTTTCAACCACTCCTAGAACTGTTGTATCATGGCAAACTCTAAACAGAAGGCTTAATGAAAAAGTCCTTTATGCCGTAAATGTAAAGGTTTTGCTTTAATTGGTGCAAAGATTATCAGAACTGGAGAGAACACAAGTGGTCTTTACTTATGAATCGAGTTTTAGTTTAACATCTGATTCTAAGTGTGTTTATATCTGGAGGACTTAGGAATGCAAAATATTTCTTAAAACATTATGGAACATGACTGTTTTAGTAATGCAGTTGTGATGCTATGAGGAGGAATGATGATCAGTGGATGTATATCCCTGCATGTTTTCAGCAGCAGATCTGTGACTGGTCAGAGATATCTTGTCTTAGAAATATCTGTCTGGTCAGAAGATATCTTGTCTTAGAAACTTTGTAAAACTTCTCAGAAGTGTATATTGATCTGATTGTTTATTTATGGATGATAATCCTAGTCAACATTGAGCAAACCTCATTGGTAAATTCCTTAAAAGTGAAGACATTGAGTGAATACCGTGATCAGCAAAATCTTAATCTGATAAAGCACTTGGCCTGCAGCTGCCAAGCGGTAAAGTTGTTAAACACTAGTAGCTCGATCTGGGATAGATTTCAGGTTTATGGGCTGGCTGCATGAGCATTTTCATGGTTTCCCCGTGTGTGTAACATAGATACAAGCTGGTTTTCTTTAGAAATTCCACCATAAAGGCATCCCTCCCTATAGGTAGATAGCCCTAGTGGGTGTTCCCATAGTTAAATGAACTAATACAAACCAAACCAACAGAGTACTTACGGTACTATTTTGGGAAAGCAATTGCATGTCCCCATCCTTGAGCTGAGATAAAAATGCCCTGAAGACTGAATTGTGGGAAGAGTAGAACTTAATTCTCCAAACTGTGGTTAGATCTTTGCACTCGAGAGGTGACTTTCAATCACCACTTGATTTGATGTGATAACTCGAGAGGGGATTCTCGGTCACCACTTAATTTAATGCGATAATTCAGAGGGTAATGATATTTATTTAGGTTTGATTTGGACAATATCGCTTCATGACTGTATTCAACATACATGTGTTTAAAATAGCTGCCAATTTTTACTCTTAAACACGTTTTTTAGGTTTATTGTTATACACGCGTCTTTGATATTAGTTCGAACTCGATATTCGTGGCAAGAGGAAAATTAATTTCAAAGCTACATATCTCAATAAGCATGAAATGTGATGAAGAAATTTAATTAAAGGGAATATGAATTCGATTTTTCATTGATATAGAATGAAATTACGTATATGCATACACTACTTCATGATAGAAAGAAGGAAAGTGGTGATGAAAAGGATGAAATAAAAAGAAGGCAAAAATTCAATGTAATAGAATAGTGAAATTGAAAGCGACGAATTCAGGAGGAGAGAGAGAGAATTCAGAATTGATAACATGCTTAGAATCCGAAGAAATACTGCAAAGAATATCGTTTGTATCCCACAAAAATAACCACAAGATCGTAAGTATATTCAGACATAAAAGAACCATTATAAGTCTTTCAATTGTATCTGAAATCATTTTAATTTAGCTGTAAGAAATTCACTAAATTTGTAGAAAATCGACTCGAGTTGCTGATTCGCCCGAGTGAAAAAAGCCTCGAGTGCAAAAGTGTTATTTCCAGTATAAAAGTATGTTGTGATATGCCTGTAGAAATTAGGGAGATCGCATTTTCTATTAGCCTTAATTTTTATTTTTATTATTTTTCTCCTTAACTCTCCCTGCAATGCCATTATTACCATTTTTATTGATTCATGTTACAGGTTTATATCATAAGCAGGGCTCAACATCAGCAGGCAATACCTCATCCCAAGAAAACTTCTGTTTCTAGGTTTCGTATAACAGTAATTCAGAATTTGTAAAATTCTTAGGTTTTTTGGAAAAAAATTTTGGCCTTTAAAAGTCCTTGATTTCAGCCAAGATAGGCAAAAGGTCCTTAATTTTACTCATCTTACATTTTTACCTGTTTTTTGCAGCTGCCATTTCAAGGGTGAATTAGCCTTTTGAAGGAATATTTTTTTGCGTTTCATTGATAAATATGTATTTGATGGGTTATTTGAATTCATTCCAGTGACTAATAGGATAATTAGTGTCAATTCTGGAGAAAAGTGAAATATAAACATTTTGAAGTTATTTCTTTTTTTCTGAATGAAGAGTTGTTAAAATAATGCATCAAAACAATTTTTCTCTTTTTGGGATATGAATTATAATTTTAAAGAATGCTAAATTTGGTGACTTATGAACATTTTGGTGCTCTTATGTTCAATTTTTATTTTAATATTTGTGAATTTTTCAGTATTTTTATAAATATAATAGTGGATAAATATCACTAATAATGGTAATATATTTTAAAAAGTATATTCAAATAAAATATTATTATCCTCTCTTATACACTGCTCGACATTGAAAATGCAACACCAAGAAGGAGTGGTCAGAAAGTGATGAAATTTGGAAAAATGACAGACACAGCAAGCAACAGTAAATGATAGTCAGAATACAGAGCGAGAATGGTGTCGGCTCAGTAGGATGTAGGACCACTGCAGACAGTGATGCACGAAGAAACACGTCTAGGCATAGTGTCAATAAGATTGCGGATGGTGTTCTGAGGGATGGCTCTCCATTCCCTTTCAACCATTCAACCATTTGCCACAGTTCGTCTTCTGAATGAGGCAGGGGCAGAGTCTGCAAACGACTTCCAGTCACATCCCTGCCACTGATGTCACTGTTATTATGTTGAATTCCAAATTTGCATGCCAACTTCTGTTGTGCATTTTCTCAAAAACTGATTAGCAACATCTACCTGATGTGATCTAAGTAACATATACACACTGTTTTTAACATCTGCATAAAATTCAACTTCCAAAAGAAAGAACTATATCTGCAGAGTTATAGCTGGCAATAATGTTGTTTGTAGTCGATTCTGGTTAATAGAACCATTGATTGGAACTATTGGAGTTCTCAAGAAGCAGATTGAATCAATAAAAAGAACAGCATGACATTTGCTTGAGGCATACTCTAGATTGGAGAAATGCATTCTTTTCTGTAGCAGGATGTCATTTAGCATCAAACATAAACATTAATGTAAAATCCAATTAGTGGGCACCCCTATTAATAAGTACAGCTTCATGAGAAAAATGACTATTTTATAAAATCCAAAATATGTGCCAAAACTAAAACAAATGCAAAAATTCTATAGCTTAATTTCACATTGAATATGATTAATAAAGCTACCGATTTCATTAAACATGGTCGAAAACATCTGTGTATTCTCATGCGAATGATGCTCCAGAAATTTGATTAGGTATCTTGATAGTGGCAAGCAGTGCTCTGCTAACGTTTATTTTATGGTCTTGCATGGATTTGTATTCATCCCTATTCTTTAAAAAGTTGTATTCAATACATGTATCAGTCTTCATTTTTCAAGAAATGTGGTGTTACTTTTTGAAACATGACTTGTTGCTTAGTCTTCATGAAGTTATTGGGGGTAAAGAAATGGAATTTCTTCTGTAAATATGGAATGTAAAGCTTTATAGTATATTGGGTTGATTTTAGTATTTTTCCAATCTTATTATTTTTACATTCTCATTGTAAGAGAATCCTGCAACATTCATGAAGCTTTTTCTGAAACTTTCATTGGATTGATGGAAGCATATTTGCACATTTCTTATCATCATTTTCGATAATAAGTAAACCTTTTTTTCTTGTCTTTATTTGGCTTCATCCAAGGGTCACAATGTATTTCTGTTTATCTTATACTAAATAGTTTTCATATTGTTTAGCTATGCTTACCACCGACTACTCTACAGTTTTTCTGCATTGAGGCGCATGTGTTCGCAAAAGCTGTACATTATGTTTCTTAGCTTTTTTAAGCTGTAACATGGTTTATTATTCTATTTATTGTTGTTACAGATGTACAGGGGTTGGACAAAATTATGGAAACACCTTTAAAAAACATGTTTCTTTGCTTAATATAATGTAGGAAACCCGTTGGCATCCAAAACAGCTTGCAGTCTTCTCGGAATGGATAAATACAGTTCCTGTATGTTTGCCAAGGGAATATTATACCATTCTTCCTGCAAAACGGTGGCAAGTTCAGATAACGATGTTGGTGGTGGATAACGAGAACGCACTTTCCGTTCCAATGTAGACCACAAAGGTTCAATAATATTCAGGTCTGGTGACTGTGGTGGCTAGGGGAGATGGGACAACTCATCCTCGTGCTCAGAAAACCAGTGTCGTCATGGAAGACACCATCACCATCGGGGAACAAAGTTTGTACCTTTGGATGAACTTGATCGGCCAAAATGTTCACATAAGTCTTGGCAGTCATGTGCCCTGACACAGTTATCATGGGGCTAGCAGAGAACCACGATATGGCTGCCCAAACCATAACAGAACCCCCGCCATGTTTCACTCTTGGCAACAAGCAGTCTGTATTATAGGCTTGAGATGGCGTTCTCCAGACGTAAACTCGGCCAGAAGTGGGAAACAATGTGAAAGAAGACTCGTCAGACCATATTACTCGCTTCCACTGCTCTTAGTCCAGGCTTTATGACTTAAACACCACCTTTTCCTGTTACGGGCATTAGCATCACTGATGAGTGGCTTCTCAATTGCAGCACGGGCCAGCAATTCCCTGTTTATGAAGCTCCCTTCTAATTGTTTTGGTACTTACAGGGTTCGGTAATACAACATTAATTTCAGCAGTAACTTTTGCAGCTGTGGTCTTCTTATTTTTCACCACAATTGCCCTTAATGATTGTCTGTCACGATCACTCAGGACACACTTTCGTCCGCGCTGTGATTTAGCAGATGATGTTTTTTCCGCTTTTCAAATATGCGGAATAAATCTTCGATACAGTACCTCTTGAAACACTAAACACCTCGGCTACCTTGCTTACAAGCACCTACCATACGTGCTCCAACAATTTTGCCCACGTTCGAAAGTCTGTTAACTCTGACATAATGCAATGACAACCTCACATAACAGTACTCCGACAACAACTGAACTGTTTAGCACATTTACGAAGTTGTATAGATGGCGTCAGTAGTCAAAAACGCCAGCGCCACCTACATATTTCATTAAAATCAATCTTTCTTTTCAAACATGCATTTCACAAGGTGTTTCCATATTTTTGTCCATCCACTGTATTTAAAGACTGTGGAATTGATTTCTGTATTGGTGGATTTTTCTCTTGTTACCAGTGATTTAACTGAGAAACTGCACATATATTCTTTTGATTAATAATATTGCACTTAGAAATTTTAATATCATGCATTTTACAGCCTTTCTGAATTATAGAATATGAATATTTCCATTTGGAAAGTGAAAAGCATGTCCTTCATTTCACAACTTGTTTACATGTGACATTTTGAAAGAAAAATATATTTAAATTAGCAGATATTATTTCTCATTTCAAATAGTAATCTGCTGTCAGAAACTTTTAGAGAAATTTGCCTCCTTTAAATATATTTGTGAATAATAACTAAAAATCTTGCATTTCTTTTAGTCTGGACTGACATTCCTCAATAAAGATTGCCAGTTATCTCATAATAATATCTGTATGGCTTCCATTTTTGTGGATCGTGCAGGAGAATGGAGACTTTTTGGAGTCGAATATATGGCTCCATCTAAAGATCCTCCACCAACAAAGGTATTGCCAGCTTTGCAAATATATAATCCGCCTGAATATGAATCAAGAAGACTTGAAGACTATCCTAATTTGTAAGTAGTCTAGTATTTTTGTGAGTCTTAATTTTAATGCTACATTCATTTATGTACAGGTTTTTCCAGCTTTGCCAAAGTACTTATTTGTAATCTTTCATAAGCTGAAATTCCATGAAGTAATATAGTAATTACCGCTGGAAAAAAAAAAGTCTTTTGTTAGTGATTGTTACCGCTAAAGTGCAGAAATCAGTTATTCTGCAGATTATCTAGCTAATCTACAGATTAACTAGAGTGATCCATTAATGTGGGGAAAATTATTTCATTTCTCAAATTATCTAGATGATGTGTGCATTAGCTACTAGGCACTCATTAAAGTGAAAATAAGATCTTTGCTTTAACAACAGCAACATTTTTCTATATGTTTAAATTAACACAATGTTATATATTTTTTATATCTAAAAGGACAAGTTAATTTATAATTAGATTTATACTAGTTTAATGATAATTTTTTTAAATTCACCAAATCTTATACCTAAAATTTAGTTATTTTGAGAGGTGGAAATAATTGCTAAAAATGTAATTGAGAATTGAGTTTTCTATAATAATTTCATTTTTGAATTTTGTGTTTTTTATTGTATAGCTTTAATAAACTTTTGTCTGGAAGTTTTCTAAAGCTATTTTCTAATTTATTCTTTCAAATGCAACTTTTTATCTATAAGACTTGAAAGAATGTTAGTGTTGGCTTCTAAATTGCAATGGATGTCATTTGGTGAAAGTAAGTGTCAGGTATTAAGAAAGTAGTTTTTTAAACCTTTAATTTAAAATTTTATCAGGTATAAAAGCTGCACTTTAGCTGCAAAATAACTGGTAATTAAAAATTAAAGAGCTAATATTTGTGTATTATAATATTTTTGAATGCTATTTTATAAGGAGTATTAAAATTATTAAATACAAAATGTTAATTTCCACTTTAGGGCATATGATAGTTGGGGATTTGGATGCTTGATATGGGAGGTTTTTAATGGTCATCTTGGCAAAATTTCGTCTTTGAAGACTACAGGAAAAGTAAAAAGTTTCCTAATAAAATCTGTTGTTTAAAATTAATGCTTTTTTCATTTTGAAACTCATATTGCATCATATATTTTTCTCTTCGATATAGTTCTAATAATGCTTAAAATTTCAGATTCCTTCAACATTAACTCCATTCTACTGTGAACTTGTATGTGCAAATCCAAAATCACGACCAAGTTCCTCAACATTCCTGAAAAAAGTAATGAAAGGAAGTAGCTTCTTTAAAAATAAATTTGTTGAAACTATGCTGTTCCTAAGGGAAATACATGTAAGTAATTTGTTGTTCTGTTATGTGTGTTTTGAAAGAATGATTATTGAAATTTGAATTATGATATGCTTCTTTGTTGCATTTTATATAATTTCAGATAAAAGATAATGAAGAAAAAATAACCTTCTTTAACAATTTGTCCTCTTCATTGGACACATTTCCACAAGATATATGTTTGTACAAAGTTTTGCCGGAACTTATTAATGCTTTTGAATTTGGAAATGCAGGCTCTTCAGTTCTTTCACCTATGTTTAAGGTATTTTTATAATTTATATTCCTGTTTTTTATATAATATTGATTCATGAAATATGCTGGCTTGTCTGTAGATAAAAAATATTTTTAAAGTTTATAGCAGTTTGAAAATTAAAAAATTGCGCACACAAACCACAAATTTTATGAACGTTAAAAAGGGTGGGTGAGGAATAAGAAGGGGGAAATTGTGAAAGGGTATATTGTGAACGCATAACGTATGCATAGCTACTAGTGTATTTTATCATTTTCTGCCTTGAGATAGACTGAAGTGTCTAAAACTCTAGTTTTTAGATAGAGTTTTACTTAAAAGTTATGCAAAATAAAGTTGCTGTTTACCTAATTTCAAGTTTTATACTGTCTTATTTCTCTTGCTGTTCGATTTTTTGCCGCCAACCAGAATTTTCCAGTTCCTTTCATTTCCTTATTTGAGCAGAATTTTTTTGCTTTTGGAATCCTGGAATTTATTATGAATATTGTTACAAAATGTACAGGCGGGGTAAGATGGCTTCCCCGCAAAGCAGTTTTAGGGTTGCCATAAAATGGCAAGGGAAGGCAGGGTTACCACATTTGGCGACAAAATTGGAGATATACCATGGATGGATGGAGACCATTCTGGAACGAATTCTTAACGGTTTAGCCCAGACTGTTCTCGAACACAAGCTGAAAGCTATATAAACCTTGGTGGTCTTGTGTGTGTGTGCCTCGCATAGAGTGTGAGAGAGTCAGCATCGATTGAGTGTGTCTCGTCTAGCGAGTCAATCCTGCGGAGTCGATCGAGTTGACAGCCGGGCAGCGAGTGCCGAGTGGGTCGTCGAGTGCACCGAAGGCGTCTGTTAGTGTATTGCGGTTAGTGTATCGTCGAGAGAGCGTGTTGAGCTCTGGGAACAACTGAACCGAAGAGTCGGGAGCTGTGCTCGTGTGTCGTCGAGTGCATCACGAGTTGTAGCTGGGAGAGTCTCGAGAGTACGTGGAGTTTCGAGAACGACCAAGCAGAGTCGGGAGCTGTACTCCGGAAAGCAGAGTCAGGTGCTTTGCAGGAAGCTTTTCTCCACCGTTATTGCCTGGCAGTGTGAAAGCTGTGTCACAGATTGTTCCAGTGTGTTTATAGTAGTTCATCGACGACTGTAAAACGTGTTTTGGAGCTGTCCTGACAATACTGACTAATAAAGTGTGTTTCGATACTTCATCAAGTGTCGTCGTTATTCCCTCCGAATCTACGAACCCCATATGAACGTGTAGGAAGAAAATAACGTAACAACTGGTGTCAGCAGTACAGAGAAAAATGCAACAATATGAAATGTAATACTGCTTGCTACAAAAATTTTATGATGATTGCTGTGATTCTTTAATGTATAGATTAATTTGTCATAAAGTGATTACACTGATTACATTTATTTTTCTAATATTGCTGCCACATTATTACTGATTATTATCTCTATGTTTGTGAGTAAAAATTTAGTTTATAAATTATACAATTGCAATCTAAAATGCTCATGCAAATATGAATGGGTCACGTACTCATGCAAAATATGTTCATATGTTTATACATCACTCTGGGATAAAGCTTTTGTTGTAAATACACCAAAGTTCCTTAAATAGCAAAGATTTTAGAGAAGCGTAAATTCTATGTAGATTTGACGCTGCTTGGTAACTTGGCTTAACCCCTGAGAAATTCATGGAGCAGTTATTGTAAGAAACAGCTATGATCTTTTCTTACTTATACAGATACCCTGTAATACAGCATAATTAATTACGCCTTGAAACCATTTAAAAATTGAACATTTTAGGATTCCTTGAATATATCCAGAAAATTATTACAGTCTGAAACTTGATTCTCCCTTATTACATTTAAGTTTAGAAAAAAATTAACTAGCAGGTAAACAGATAATGCTGTCTTTAGGGGTGTACTTTCTAATTATCTGCATCCTCAGTTAAAAGCTGTGAAAAAGTACTGAAAAGGTAATGCATCAGGTTGCCAGAAAGTATTTTTATGGCAACCTATGATATCGTAAAAAAGGTATTTATGTGGCAGCCCAGGGATGTGCATAGCACACATGTGTTTGATTACACAGGGATTTCCTCTTTTGAAATTCAACAATCATTTTTCTGATTAGTTTTCTTTTAATGAAGTACATACTTTTGTCTCAACCACAATAGAATTGTGGAGTTTGACATCTTTTATTTTCATTACATTGGAGTGAGCATTGAAACTTCAACTGTGATTGTGAGATCATGGCTTAAGCACAATGCTGAGTTTGTGCAATTCTCTCTTTTTTAAGAGAAAATAAATTGCTGAATGCATGATGAGAACAGTAGTGGAAAAAAAAATGCAAAAGGATTTACTAAAAAAAGATAGGTGTTTTATTTTTTAATGAATGTAAAAAAAAATAGGTGTCACTGGATGCATTCTTGAAATAGATACAAAGATACCCAAAAAATGTTTCTTTCCAAAGACAGCAAGAAGTTTGCAATTTTTTAGTGTGGGTGCAGATGGTGAGAAACTAATGAATGTTTTTGTTGCTCCATTTGCATCTTGAATGAATTAAAAATGGCATGCCATAAAAGTGGTAGTAACTGACAGAAACTAATAAAATAACAAAAAAATTGATCAAGTTATTATGAGTATTAAAAGAAAGGTAGTTAAAAACAAGTTCAGATTCAACATTTATAATATTTATCCAGATGTTATGTAACTGTAATTTTGTATATTATGTAACTGTAATTTTGTAACAGTTACATAAGAGTAGCTAAGAAAATACTAATTTTACCCACTATTTCAAAACCCAAATAATTTAATACTTTTAAAATATATGAGAAAAATAAGTGAAAAAGAATATTTTTTCAAGCCTAGTAAGCCTTGCAGTCTCATCATTGTACAAACAAGAGTTATGAAATATTCATTTGTAGTTTTTTTTTTTTTTTTTCCTCCTCCTTTTAAATCAGACCAGCATGTAGAAACTGAAACATTTTAGAGGGCTGTTCACTCTGACATTTAATATCTGAGCTAACAGAGACATCTTAACGTAGCTGACATCAGTTTTTCTTCAGTTGAAAAATCTGAATTTCATGTGTAATGGAACTAGTCTTCACATGCAGCGGACTCCGTTAGCTCAGATAAACCCTAGTGTGAATGGACATGCAGACTTTATAAATGTATGAGAAAAAAAGAGCTGATTTTGCTTGAAAAATTGTGATGTAAGGCATAATGTAGATTTATGTCATAAAGTAGTATCCTAGCCCATTCTTGGCAACTAATTAAGTAATCCTTCCACAACAGCAGTAAAGACTATCATTAGTACTGTATTCAGAATTAAGTCAACTATAGAATTTTTTACTTATGAGATATCTTGTTATGAAAAAACTATATAGGATCTTCAAAGTTTCTCAGTTTGTAATCATTTTTAACAGAAGGATTTTTAGTACAATAATAGAAGTATTGGTACTTTTTATAATCATTGCATTTCACTTATATAGCACATCATTTCAGCATTAAAGCCATACCGAATTTGCCAATATGGTTCATTTTTTTAGCCTCATATTGTTGAATTTTGGTTTCTTTCTTTCTCCATGCCTTTAGCTTGATATTAGATGAAACAAAATGACCAAACGTTTTTACATATGCCTAGCACGTAAGTACCAAAGCAATTTTTATGTGTTAGTTTTGATCGTCTTTCAGTTATCAACTTTAAAACAGAATGAAAACTGTGTCTTGAAATTATCATGCCAGAAGTTTATTAAAAAATATTATTTTGTAGTTGAAATTCTGTCTTTTGACATTGTAGGTGTACTGTAAAGTTTTTAATTTTATAGAAATTTTACATAGATATTTATATCTGACAAGAAAAGTGTAAGAACTGCAAATGAATATTCTGATGTTAAATCTGAAATCTTTAAACTTCCACACTTTATATGTACATTCCCCCCTAAATATTGAATAGTTTTATTTTTACAAGTGTAATTGCAATGAAACTCTTTTATATTTTGCAGTTAGGTAAGTTATTATCTGAAGAAGATTATCAGAAGAAAATTGTTCCATGTGTGGTTAAAATGTTTTCTTCGAAAGATAGAGCTACAAGAGTGAAACTGTTGCAGCAAGTTTGTAAATTCTTTTCTTTCATATTTAATTAAAAACTATATTAGTTTTTCATATTTTTTAATTGTTTGAATTGCATTTTTTGTCACAAAAAACAAAAGTTATTTAAGTGTAAAATCATTTGTGATAATTTGTTATTGCTTAGGATAATTCAAATAGGCATTTTAGAGTTACTGTATATATCTGGTCCGATGCAGATTAAGTTTTATGTTATGTATTCTTTATCTTGCATACACATATACACACTGATGTTCAAAATGAAAAGAAAAGAAAAGAAACTTTAAAATAAATAAAGCATATTGAATTAAAATTGGAAAGTATGTGGTCAAATAATAATGCAGTAGGACTCAAAGTCTTATGAGTGTGCTTTATGGCCAAAGACCTTTTGCTTGTTTCCTGTTCTTTTCATGAGAAAAGTGAGCACATTTGGCATAATGCAAAGAATATCAGTCATGGTCCCGACTTCAGTAGTAAGTCTGTATTGAATGTAGATGCTTATTCTCTGTGCTCCTTTTTCTGGACTGAACTGGTACCTGGCATTTTCTTCTAATATCAGAAAAAGGGCAGCAGTGGTGTAATGGTTTGGATAGCAGTATGGTAGATAACCACAGGGTAATCCATGTGTTTGACAATAGTCTCTTGACTGCTCAGAAGTATACAAAAAAGATCTTAGAGCAGTGGTTTCCAAACTTTATTTTATCACGGCTCCCTTAAAAATATTTGATCGTATGGCACCTCTTCCATTTTATAAAATACTACAAACACAAAAATTTTTAGTACTAAAAAATTTATTAAGATTCACTCTTATACACAAGAAAAAATAAATAACAATATTTTATTATTGTCGCTTAATGAGATGGATGTGCTTGCCTATTAGCGCAAAGTTTGTCAAATCTTGGTGTCATTGATGAGATAACTACATGAAACTCCTTTTCTACGACCAAACGAGCACGATATTTTGATTTTACTGCAGGTAATGCAGAAAATCCTGTTTCGCATAAAAAAGATGTTGCGAACGGCAGCAATACTTTTAAAACTTTATTTGACAAAATGTTTATGTTCACTCTTAATATCTAGCCAAAATTGAAAAAGAGATGCATTCTGAAATTTTGGTTTTAAAGAAAGTATCACAAGATAGTTCAATCAAGTTTTCTTTTTCAATACTTGTTAATTCAAATTTGTCATCTTCTTCGTCGATAAATGGATTCTGTATCCACGCATATTTTGTAAAATCAAGATCATCAAAATAATTCAAAAAATGAATTAACAAACCATCTAAGTGTTCAAAAAATATATTTTTGTTTGCTTCTGTATTAACTTGGGCACATAAATTTAAAAGTGGAAACATGTCGAACCTATTTTTTCCTAAATTTGTCTTCCATATCTCCATTTTTTTAATGAATACTTTATCTTTTTGAATCAGTAACTGCATTTGGGGCCCTTGCATCAATTTATTCAAAACACTCAATTTTCCAAAAATTTCTGCCAAATAGGTAAGCTTAATAATAAAATTATCATCCCTAAGCATATTTGCATCCTCATTATGATTTTCTTCGAGAAAAATTGAAATTTCTTCTTTGAGTTCAAGTACCCTCTGAATCACTTTTGCACGAGATAGCCAACACACTTCACAATAATACAAAAGTGAGGTGTGATCTGCTTCCATATCTTCACACAGCTTTGCAAATAACCTAACTTTTAATGGACTGTTTTTTATGTAGTTTACAACTTTTGTTACTTTTGTAAAAACGTAGTTAAGTTCCTCACTGATATTTTTTGATATGAGAGCTGTTCTGTGGAGCATGCAGAGCTTCCAGAGAACATCGGGTGTTTTCCCTTTAATTAGTGCTTGCAGGCCAGTTTGGTGTCCTGACATTGACTGTGCACCAACTGTACAAAGCCTAATGCAATTATTCCACAATATTCCGCTCTCATTGAAAAAATAGTCGATTATATTAAAAATTTCGCTGGATGTGTCTTTGCCAGGAATAGGTTTGCAAAATAATATATCTTCAATTATATTATTCTCTTCAACATATTGAACATATGCAATTAAATGTGCATCTTTAGCTACATCGGTTGCTTCGTCTACTTGTAAGGCAAATTTTGAAGTGCGCATCTGAGAAACTAATTGATCACAAAGATCGTCAGATATATCATCGATTTTTCTGACAACAGTGTTATCAGCAAGTGGTAGTTGTCGCCACTGTTTTGCATATGATTCACCAAACATTGTTTTGACCATATCAATAGCTGCTGGCAAAACTAATGTTTCTCCTATTGTGTGTGGTTTTTTACACTTCGCAATTCTGTATGATACTAAGTACGATGCTAGTAATGCATTTGATGGAACATGAACTGTTTTTTTGAACGTTTGCTTTTGTTTAGTGAACTCATCCAATTTTCTTTGAAAAAAAATTCTTGGGACTTGCCAACGTATTGAGAATGCATAGTTTCAATGTGGCATTTTAATTTTCCGGGTCTTATACTATCAGCAGCCAAAACTTTCGAACAAAATAAACACATTGATTTTTCCACATTAATATTACTTGTAAATCGTCTTATTTATCATGATAAATAAGACGAATTGTATTTTCTTTTCTTGGGAGTTCTTCCTTCCTGATTCCTACTACGTGTACCAACATCAGATTCTTCATTATTAGAGGATATTCTCTTATAACCAGTCAAGAACTTATCCATTTCTCTAAAAATATTAGGATAATTAATTTATTGTTCTTAAAGAAATTAAACTTAGTTAAATTACTTACTATTGTGATCAGTGAGTAATTAGGTACGTCAAAATAAAATAAGAAACACAATCTAACACTGCTGAGCTAAACTGAAGTCGATAAGATATTGTCTCGATTTTTAGAGAGTTACTGGTTGGCCAAGCAGCATAGTAGTTAATATGTACCTATATGTTATGTATTGTATTAGCTGCACGTGCACCAAACCTGGCTAATATTCACGCCTTTCCTTAGACTAGTCCACGCCTCCGAGTTTGAAAAACTCTGTCTTAGAGCCATGCAGGGGTTCAGAGGTCTCCTTTTTATAAACATTTTTTTATTTATCTACACTAATACATACAGACCACCTGAGCGTACTTGATACACTTGGGAAAGCAATTTCAGTTTGCTAACTGTTTCTGAGATCCATCTAGAAACTAAGAACTGCTTTGGTCAGAAGTGGATGTGTCTGCCACAGACACTCATCAGCTTGCTCTAGAATAAGTGTATGATAACTTGCTCTGCAACCAGTGGGACTTTTAAAAGGGGACATGCTCTTCATTAGCTTTATTTCAGGGCATTATCTTGCCATGCCAGTTTTGGACGTTTCTGCTACTATGAGCCTTACTAATGAAAACGATTTAGGTGTTTTCATTATTGTATGCTTTATATTGCTGTCTTATATTACTCTGTATTCATATCAAATTTTGCTAAATTCTGTCTGGTATTTTTTGAGAAATTTGAAAAATGTTCTTATTTTCTTCATTTTAAGCATGAGTGTGCATTTGCTTTCATTTTTTAAATAATGGTTTAATATTATATAATAAATATTTTTCAGAGTCTTCATAAATTTCGTTAATAGTTTTATGTTACAAAATTCTATTAACCATTTTATTTTTTCAAAGGTACTTTTGCTCCTTTATATTTTCTTGTTATCTGTCTCTCTTTACTTTTATTGTTTTTTGTATAAACTGTTTTAATGATTTCATAACATTCACTTTTATACTTCACGAAAATTCATAGTTTTGTAACCTGAAAAATACATTATTCAAATATTTCAATGAACAAAAAAAGTTTTGTTACTTTTACATTTCTTTGTAATGTTTGGTTTATTGGAAGAAATGGTTAAAAATAAAAGATTAATGTTACAAAAATGAAAAATTTTAACTGTTAAGAAATTTGAACATTAACAGTTTAAGATGTGTGCTGTAAATAAATTAAAATCTAAAGCAGTAGTTCTCAACCTTTTTTGCTTCATGTACCCATTTCACCGTAGCTAGTGGATCATCCCCTCCCATTCCAAAACTTGAAATATACATATACTTTTTAGTATGTTTTATAAATAAATAAGGAAAAGTATAGAACATATTGATAAATACCAAAACTTGAATAAAAATTGTTTTTTATATTTATAAACTAAAATATTTCATAGATAAATAAAAGGCTGAACGCATCTTTCCCAGAAACTAGGAAATTCCCCGTGTTTGAGAACCCCTGATTTAGAGAGGCATATCAGTGTTTAGTTTGAAACTTTGTATTAGTGAATTGTTGCACTATTATCTTATATGTGTAACTCTGATTTACTTATCCAGCAGTTTATATATCAACAGAATAAAATAATATTTTGAATTGTTTTCTGGCATAATATGTTAGTTTTTGAACTTAGAATTCAGGATTTTTTAGGCCAATAATAATTAAAAATTATAATGATTTACTTTTTTATTAAATAATTAAATATTTAAGTAACAAGATATTAAATTGTATAAAAATAGGATCCTCAATAAATAAAAGTTTAGCCTTAAATGCTATGAATTAAAAAAATTATCTAATATATGTATGGTAGCATGACAATTAAAGAAAATTTTGCGTGAAATTGTGCTTTTTGTGATAGTTTCTCAAAATTAACTTTTTATTCTTTTTAGGGCATTCCTATCTAGTAACACTGTTCATTATATAAGTTATTTTAATTTTTAGATTATATTTTGCTGTTTACGAATTACTTTTCTTTTAAAATTGTAAAATTATATAAAAAAGAATTTATTACATTAAAAGTATGTAACATTAACATTAAGAAGATAAAAAAAGTAACTATTTATATGCTCACATAAAGCTGAATTAAATAATAAGGTCACCAATGCTTCACTGCACTATACATAGGTGAACAATGATTTGCTTAGAATGTTTTTCACGAGAAATTGTTTATCCTCTAGCAAAATGAATGATTTAAGTTTTCTTGAAGAAAATTCAGAATTTTTAAAAATGTAACTTTTAAAATGTAAATTACAAATAAATGACAGAAGAAGAAAAAAATGTTACAGTAATTATATTTATGATATTTTAGATTTTGCAGAATTTTATTAATTATCTGAGATAAATAAAGAAATTTTAGGACATTTTATAATATTAAATTATAATGCAAGCCTTTGTTTCTTGGTGAATGAATTAGCTCCAGAAATATCAAGCTTAACATTTCAACTTCAAAAGTGAGGAAGGGGGGAGTGACATGGCCATTATAGTTACCACTCAAACTAGAAACACCATTCTCATTATAAACTAAAACTAAAGTATCATCTTTAAAAATAGATCAACTTGGTATAGATTTCACAAGGCCAAGATCATTTATGGGCTAATTTTAATTTGCTACTGGAGAGAAAAATATGTAAGAATATTTTAAGACAAACTAATTCTGAAAAACTGCCAAAATTTGCTCTTGAAGTAAAATACTTTTTTTTTAATTGAGACTGTTTATTATTTTTTGCCAAAGGTTAGGAAATCTGGTTAAATGTTATTTTATAAGCTATTTTAATTTTATTTCTATACTGAAAAAGTATGAAATACTTATTTTCTTTTAAAGTCAAAATAAAAATGTTTATTTTTAGGTTGAATTATTCATTGATCATATTCAACCTTCTGTTATAAACAATCAAATATTTCCAAATATTGCTCAAGGGTTCTTGGACACCAATCCTACCATTAGAGATCATACAATCAAGGTAAGTTTAATTCTGTTTATAATAATTAAGATACTTTTTTTAAAATTCTGGATTGTTTTCATACATGTGAGAGAGGTCCAGGTTGGCTGATATTTCCTTGATTTTTTAAAATGATTGAACATACATAGGTGAGTAGAAATACCTTCTTATTTTTCAGTGTGATCTCTCTGTCTATTAATGCACTTAGCATATGATTTCACTAATGCTTGTTTCTCACCAGCAGTGCAGAAAAATTTCTTGGTATATTAGAGCCACAATCAGACTACTTCTTTCATCTTGTCATCAGTGCTGGAATGCTAGCATCTGCAGAAATATGTGAAAATCAATTAAAATATGCTAAATAGAGATGGACAAAACTGCTTCTTTAAGGGATCAGATCAGAACTGTTCAATCACTGAAGGGAATCGTTTTTTTTTAAGTGAATCAGTTCTTTTTAATCACTCACTAACAATGATCTTGATTAATGCACTTCGAACAAGCATGGATCAAGAGCAGTGTGCAAAGATGGGAGAAAAGGAGAAAGAATTGTACAAGGGGTAAGAATCGCTGGAATCAACTCAACCACTCACTCCATGGACTGATTTCTTTCAACTGTACTTTTGAGATCTTTTGAGTTCTAGAATAAAGAAAAAAGGCTAAAAGTTAAAAAAATAATGAAAACTAAATTTGCTTTTGTTAAATATTACATTATTTTATTACTATAATTGATGTTGTGTTGCTACTACAAAGCACAGTGTAAAAATTAATTTTTAGATTGGGGCAGATCCCAAAGAACAGAAAATTGCCTACTGATAATACTGGCATTTTCCTATCTTTTTACGTAATTTGACAAAATTTTGCCAAATATCACTCGAGGTTCTTCTGTTTGGTAGGGGCCACATTTTCTTCTGCAACCTTGAAAAAATACATTAGATGGAAAACTTTATGTCAATAAATATATACTAATTTTAAAGAAGATTAAAGAGAAATTCGCATCTCTTGATTACAAAATGTTAGTAAATAAATAAAATTGTAATTTATTTATTTACATAAATGTTACAGTAATATTATATAAAAAAAAGTTATACATAGCTATACTGTGACACAGTATTCAAAGAACCAAAATGGAACTCAAAGGAACAACTTCAAGGAATCGAAAAGAGCAAATAATCAAGACTCCACAGGAACCAGATTTGAAAGAGTGAATAATGAAGAGTCCGTTGGAATCAGATCCAATTACTTCTCCAAATAGTGTTGGATGACCGGAGCACTGACACCTGAGAATCCGAGGAAGTAGTTCCTATAATATGTGTACTTTAAACAGATACTTGCAGTGCCAGATGAGAGGGAAAAAAAAAAAAAAAACATCCATTTGCAAACAGGGGCGATCAATTTTGCTGGAATGCGTCATTTTATTTAATGTTTTGTTTTTAAATACTAGATGGAACACAAGCAAGCTAAAAGCACACATATATACATACATAACACACATAAAAAATAGGTCAGAGATGTTTCCGGTAAATAATAAAGGAAAAACTGCTAATGTTTATATTAAGAGGCATCAGTTTTTTGGCATGCTTCCCAACAGCTCTCGGTGAACTGTTAAAGAACTGCTATTCCATTTTCACCACTGAAGCACTGATCATTCATTTAGTCAAGTGAATTGGTTCATTAGTTGGTTCCAGAGCAGATCTTTTTTTTATCTCTAATGCTGGATTATAAAGGGTGCATGATAGTAACTCTCAGTCAGCATTCCTGTAAATTTGGGCTTAGGCATGCATTATCTTGTAGAAATAGAATACCTTTAGTGATCGCACCAAGTATTTTTCTCTTTCTCTTAAGAGCATTATGTACAACTTTGAGAATCTGTTGTCTATATGCATTGTACCACTATTTCCAAAAAAGTACTATCTGACTTTGTCTGCGGATGCATATGCTCATATTTTTTCGGAAGTTTTGCTTCCCTTACTTCAGTGCATGTTTTGATTCTGAGGTTAAATATTGTACCCATGCTTCTTTGTTTCAGATAGTCCGGCTTTGCCTTTCATTTCAACCTTCCAAGTGGCCAAGCTGCATATATACATTCAAAAATATTCAATATATTAATACTTCATAAACATGCATCTTGAATTAAGTCCAGATAGTTAAGAGTGGTATATGGATTAGAAGAAAAGGAGTCTATATATAATGGGAGAGTTATTTTGGAATTAAAATAAAAAGATACCATTTATTCAGGGTCATTTTGGGAAATTTAAGGTTTTGAAAACAAACCCATATTTGCTTGATGGGTTAAAATAATCTAGCTCATTGCAAATTTGTAGTTTGTCCTGCTGTTTGAAAGCAGACTGATCTATTGGTATCCCAATGTACATTAAACTTCTGAAATAAAATAATATAATTTTCTAAAATAATTCATTCATATTTTCCACCACAACATAGCAGCTTGTTATGCATAGACTTTCATAGACTACTGATTTGATGAATAGAAACAATGATTTGGACTCCAAGCTTTTTAACTGGAAGCATCTTACCATAGTCATCTTTAAATCATTTGCATTATTCTATTGTATTACTACAACAAAACTTTTCAGTATGATATTGTAAATTTCACTCAGATTTTTAAGCCTTCAATCTGAAGAAATGTATAAACATGTTTGGACCATGTTTGGACTTACAAATAAGGAGGTCATCTAATTTAGTAAGTGGTTTGTATTGCCCCATGACATTAGAGCATCATGTGGTAATGGAACATTTTTTTTTTTCTTTTTCTGAGCATGACTTGTTGTCTAGGATCCCTATATATGCTAGTGAGACAAGAAGTCCTAGTTTGACAAACTTTCTTCATGTATTCTGCTATGTTATATTGTTAATATTATTATTATTATTTTTTTTTTTCTTTTAGTGTATGTTGTACTTAGCTCCAAAACTGAACTATCAAAATTTAAATGAAGAAATGCTGAAACATTTTGCACGGCTGCAGTCTAAAGATGAACAGGTATAGAAAAATTTCATTTTATGATAACATTCAGTTATCTTTATGTAGCATTTTTCCTTCAGCATTAATTTTTCTGTACTTTTGGTGCTTATCAGTTGGCTGAGTAGCTATTAGAAATACAGAACAATTTAAGCAGCTAGTTTGACTCTCATTTTACTTTATTTGGGTGGATTGAAAAAGGAATATGGGCTGTGTTTAATCTGTAGTTCATTCTCTGTATTGGAATAAGCTGGCTTCATGGCTATTTTTGTATTTTCACTAATGCAACCAGCCATTCTGCCTTCAGCGTAGGTGAAGCTAGGGGGTTTACTCTTCAGTTCATTTCTCAATGACAGAATGGTCTGGATATATGTCTGAAAGTTAAATATGGGAAATATTTTCTCTATAAAATTCATCACTGTCTGGCTTCCGGAAACAGATAATTCTCCCTAAGGGGTATATTATAATTATATTATCCTATGCTTCCTTTTACATTATCCTTACTTTTTCCTTATCACTTTTGAAAATTAAATTTTTTGACTCTTTTCCAGATGTTGATGTTACATTACTAAATTTGTATTAATTTTTTTTGGTAATCATTTAATAGGATACTCTGTATTTACTAGTTTAGAATATGCTTTTATCTATTGCTTGTATATTTTGTTTCTCATTTTCCCAAGTCAATGCTTGTGACATGTTTATTGTGTAAAAATTCATACAAAATTTAAAAAAAAGTCCATTCTGAATAAAATGCCAATAATAATATTTTGCTCTTTCCAGACATAATATGCAAGGTGTCCCAGAATAAAATTGCCAAAATAAAGTTGTGAGGAATGCATTTTATGGTCGAAGTTAGGTAAAAAGTGTCCTGTGAATGTCTAGTAAGGCAAGCAGTTTATGAATTACAGTCAAAAGTCTTTAATCCAGACTCAGCAGGACTTCGGCGATTCTAGATTATCGTTTTTTCCGGATTATAGATCATCAGTTTAAATCTGGTAAGATGGCATGCAGAAATTATAAAATTTAAAATATGAAACCGTAATTTATGAAATAAAGAGCAATTATGATCTAAAGGGTATCAAAATTTACAAAAAAAAGTTAATATTTATTTGTTTACTTTATTAAACATTTCTTTCAATGCGTGCATGCTAAAGCATATATAGGCAGTCAAAATTAGAAAATTGCACCAGAAAAACTATAATGTGTATTGTGTATTCGGTAGTGATAAATGAGCCAGAGGAAGATGGAATTTGATTTAAACCATATCAAAGACGGAGTACATCGAGATGAAAAACTACACTTAGTAAGGAATTATAAGCCGAATAAAAGTATCTGGCCTGAAGATGCGAATTGCGCTGACAGATCAACTTCCAGTTCATTGCGCGACGCGACGCTTTTTTCCCGCAGAGCAGCATGAAATTGATAAACAGATTTCGGAATGGTTAGAGAAACAAAGGATATGCCTTTATCCATTTTTGCAGCATTCCACTTTTTGTTTGAATCTAAATCAAAAATACTTTCAATTTGTAGATCTTGGCAATCCAGAATCGGAAATTCTTTTTGAACATAATCGAAGTTCAAGCTTACTTTTATAAAATTGCTCTAACAGTCTGTAAAAAATAATAAGCCAGATCCAATTCGAAGATTAAGGAACAACGCAATCTGCAACATTAACTGAAATAGATAATTAGATAATTTTAGTTTAGCTTATACCGTCCGTTATACATTAAATGTGCATGCGTAAACGCATAATGCATTTACGCATGCGCAGAAAGTTTGTAGCTTTGAGGTCCGGATTATAGATCATTCTGGATTATGGACATCCAGATTAAAGACTTTTGACTGTACAATGCATTGATGATCAGTAACAAGAAGTTGCAGATATTAGTTATTTCTATATCTTTGTATCAGTAAAAATCCTGTAATGAATTTGGTTTCCTCCCCCCCCCCCCCCCATCATGAATTTGGCAGCTTAATAAGGACACTGATCAATGAATTTGAGGACTCCACCTAGCCTGCTTCTTCTTTGATATTCAGTGTCTTCTATCTCATGAACTTCGTGTTTTTTACTGTATGTTTAAAAAACATTTTTTTTTTTTTACTTATCTTTGGCCACAGAATACACTGCCAATGTTTGGCAACTTGATTTTGGAATGTCCTGTATATCTTATTTGGATATTGATATGAAATATGAATTAAAAATATGCTTTTAATGAATTTTTATGAAGCTGAAATTCGTTAAATGTGTAATATTTGAGTTTTATTAATATCAGGAATTAATGTATGTGATTATATATTTTTAGTTGTATGACTTGTTTTATTACCGTGAATTGAGAGAGAAACTAAAATATAAAGCAAAGTAGTGTATAATATTTAACAGATATGAAATTGTATTCATTATATCATGCGATGAGCTTTTATGCATTTTTTTTTTTAATAAAAATAGATTTACATAATGTATTTAATGGTACAATATTTTTATTCTTTAATTTTCATAGGGAGGAATAAGAACAAACACGACTGTATGCCTTGGAAAAATAGCGTCTTATTTACATCCTCAAGTAAGATGTTTTATTTTTTTTATTTTTCTCTGGATACTTGCAACTGTTTAAAATATTTGTATTTTTAATTGTTGTTATTATTATTTACCTTTTTTAAGTGTTAGAAAAAGTATGTTACATGTTAATGGTTATTTAATGTGTTAATGGAGAATGTTTGGCTAACTTTTCTGGTAATTTTATACCTATTAGTTTTTTTTTTTTTTTTTTTTTTTTTTTTTAAATTTCGGGTGGAAAATATTTTGCAATTGCTTCTGAAATATCTTTGCAGTTCCCCCCCCCAGAAACTTCACTAAATTTAACCTCAAAAGGTGCTTTGCTGTAGCCCTGTATTTCTTGTTCTGCCATTTTGAAGAGCCTCCTGTTTGCTCAATATTTTACATATGAACCTCCAGAAAAAGCGAATTTGAACATTAACAGTTCAGAATCACCTTCATTGTTTAATAGATCTCATAGATCCATGATTGAACTATAAACTCCGAAAAAAAAAACATCGTTCTTAAAACTTAACAATCTTAAACTACGGTTGTAGTACCTATTAATTTGTATTATCAGCCAAAGTCTGCAATTCATTCTTTTTTTTGGCAAATTTTGGTTTTTCTTCCTCCATTAAAATGTAAGTACATGTAAAAATATATTTTTAAACCTATTGTTATTTCTTTTAATATTAAAAATTAGCTCTTAGTAGTGAAAAATAATTTTTTCATTAATTATATGCATAGTTTGTAAGTTTTCTCATGTATAAATTTTCTATTATATGGAGAATTAAGAAATACAGCAATAATTTCCGCTGTTAAAAATTTCTTTGGTTTGTATACACCAAAGTGCCAAAATGTTATGACTTCCTACTCAATGTATTCCACTACCTTTGTCCTGCAAAACACTTACAATTTGCTTTGGCATGGATGCCACGAGTTCTTGGTAGATGACTGGAGGCAGGTTGTACCAAATATCTAAGCAGGAGTTCGCAAAGTCGAAATATTCCAACATGGTGTTGTTTGAGCTCTGACCTGTCACGCCATGGCTTCCAAAATGTTCATGACTATCAGGTTAAGATCCGGCAATTTGGTTGGCCAGGACATTTATTGGAATTCCTTCTCATGCACTTCAAACTACTGCAACACAGTTTGAGCTGTGTGACATGGGTCATTGTCCTGCTGGAAGATTCCATTTCTAATCTGGAAGACAGACGTCATTTAAGGGCGCATCTGATCAGCAGTTATGTTCAGATAGTCTGCAGGTTTCATGGTTTGTTATACCACAACTAAGTGTCTCAGAGCCACTCAACTAGAACATCCTCCAAAGAATAATACTGCTACTTCCAACCTGTGTATGACCTGCTGTATAGGCGGAGGACTGTTTACATGGAAGATATCATACCCTGATATGACCATCAATATGTTGAATGAGAAATCGTGATTCATCCAACGAAGCAACTGTCTTTCTCTTATCCATGATCCGGTCTTGATGCTCCTGGGCCCACTGTAGGTGTAGTTAATAATGACGTTTGATCAACAGAGGCACATGAGTGGGATGTTTGCTGCACAGTCCAATATCCAACAATGTCCACTGAATTGTGTGTTTCAAAATTCTTGCACTTGAGCCTACATTGTATTGTGCTGTCAGCTGAGCCACTGTCTGGCTCATTTTGCTGTACCAAGTGGGACAGTATGCAACGTCCTTTTTCTTTGACTGACAGTGGCAGATCATAAACTGACCTACCAGTCATGCAGTTTCGGAGAAACTCATTCCGAGTCTTCGGCCTATTGCAGTCTGAACTCTATTAAAGTCGCTTAGATCAGCAGCCTTTCTCATTACTCGCAAAAGTAAGTGCAAGAATGAATTCTTACCTTCTCCAGCAGCATACCATTCCCTCTTAATCGTGTGCCCTTCTCATCATCCAGGTGAGTTCATGGAAAATATAGGGATGGTCATAATGTTTTGGCTCATCAGTATATATGTATGCACACAGAAAGTCACACTCTGAAGAGGTGGTTTTTTTTTTTTCCCTCTTTCCTCCCAGTTTTTCAAAATGTATTCAACGTAATAAACATTGTTGGCAGTTAATAATGCCTAAGATTTTTCATCTAATTTCAGTATTATAAAAATATATTGTTTCATACAACATAAATTATTATTTAAAAAGCTGTTAGCTTCTCAATCTGTGCTATTTTAGGGTCAGTTGTAGAATTCCTCTTTGTTTTCAATGTCATTTGCATTCAAAATTAAATAAAATGGTTGGGGTGAAATTTTTATAGTAAGAGTAGATGATACTTTTATAGTATATTCTTTTTTTTTTTTTTAATCTGCGGAAAGTAAGGAACTTTTTTTTTAAAATGGGGTTTTTCTGTGTATACAATAAAATTTTAAAAACAAATCCTGGATCTTTTCAGATTGAAATTATTTTTGAGTTGAGTTTTATTTATTTATTTTTCAATATTAAACATTTCGCCAGTTAGTAGAAGCAGCTATTATAATCTTATGATTTCTTCTTCCAATATTGCAGTTTCTTTTTATTATTTAGAAATGTTAGAAATTTAGATTGAATTTAGAAATTAATAGAAATGTTAAAAATTTAGATTGACAAACCATTAGCTTTCCCTGTACATCAAGAATGTGTACAATTTAAAAAGCATAATTTCCTTTGAGATATTAAATTGTAATTTAAGAATTTCTTAATGAGTGTCTTTACTCCAAGTATTTAGTATTGGAAACATATGCATTTCGCATAGAACGCTATAAATTTCCAAGATGGTCAAAATAGTTTATGAGAGTTGAACACTTAATGCCATTTTGATTTACATTTCAAGCACTTTCTATTATGTACCATAACATAGTTTGAAATTAGTATTAATCACAACCTCTAGTAGAGTCTAAATCATTCTTAATATTGAGAAAGCCATATCATTGAATAAGAAAAATTTAAATCTAGAGGAATATCACAGAAGTTTAACATTGTGTTTGAATGATGAAACCTTTTCGTACGTCACAGTCTTTAGACAATGCATACATTTTTAAACTGAGAAACAATTGCCTGGAAGATCAACCTCATCAAGGTTGTCTATCAGTCTCAACCATAACCCCCCCCCAAAAAAAATATCTTTGAGAAATGTCATGACTGAAAATCATCATATTACTTATTTGCAGATTGAGTTTTTAGGTGGATGACCCCTCATCTCACATATAAAAACATAGAATAAAGTCTAGTGGTTCACACTGATATTGAATAAAATTTTAATAATGATAAAAGTAAAAATGTTTCAGAAATTGGTACTGGGCATTAAAATATGATTATATAATTTTCTTATTGACCAAATCTGTGTTACATCGACCAGTGCTTTTTCTGAAAAGCATCTACTAGCTATACTTATCATGCTGACTATTACTTTAGCAGAGCAATTAGTCTTGTAGCCTATTCACATTTAAAAACTGTCAGCAGTTGACTCACTGCATTTGAGTGTACTGAATATTCAATAAGTTTGAAGCAAAGTAATGTCTGTTACTTTCTTCATTTCTTACACATTTCTCCTCAGTTTCAATCCATTAACTATCAAATTCCAGCAGGGGGAAAGGGAGTTTCATCACAGTTTTCAAACCATTCTTGAAATTAACATCATCATTGTAAAATGAAACACATATGTACTGTGGCAGCTTTTGAAACAAAAAGATGAAAAATTAGACCCAGATCTGGTGAATGGAGTGAATAAGGAAAGAGCCGAATTGTACATTATGAAATAGCCATCTGAAGTCAGAGCTTTTTGTTCTGAAACATTTCCAAGCAAAAGAAAAACTTTTCTACCTAGTTTGCCATGACATTTTACCTGTATGGCTTGTTGGAGTTGAGTCAGCACTGTTTTGAGGGTATTATGTGCCCTATTATTAATAAGTAGTGGTTCCTTCTCGTAGGAAAAAAATGCCTAGAATTTTTCTAGTAGATTTATACTTCCTGAATTTTTTAGATTAGGAAAATTTATTGCTTATGTTTATGCTGTATTCTTTTTCTTTGTTTCAGGGTCACAGTGGTAAAGGAATGCTTTATCTTCTGTCACTAATCATGACTAAAATTTTTACTGCCACTGAGAAATTCTGCAGAATATTTAACCTAACATTTCTTTATTTTAGGTATCTTTCTGGCACAGATGCTCAACATCCTTATTTTTATGTAGAACTTTTTACTGTTGGATTAGTACTGATTACCATTTTTGTATCAGTCTAAGAAACTCTCTCTCATTCCTCTGCTTTAATGCACAATTAGTGTTATGGGATCATCATGTGATGCTGTATTTTGTCTAAACAGCCTGTATGTTAATACAAAATTATGCCATATCCTTTCTCAATCATATAGGAAGATCCTGAATAACTACAGACTGCAACCATGCATTTATGAATATTTGCCAGTGCTTTTATATTAAGAACTAAATTACTGAACAGGGCTTGATATTTTTAATATAAGCAATCAGTGAAAAAAAAACAGGTAGCATTTGCTGCATTTGATTTCTTTTTTATACATCTAAAGGATGTTGGAATAATTGTATTATGATTTGTCGCCCTGCATATATTGTATTATCATAGTAAGTGTTAAACACCTCTCATCCTTGCCTTATTCTCTTGATTTGGACTCAAAGATTATGTTTTGTTTCCTTGGGTGAAAGAAGAATCTGATGTAAAGGAGTTTTTAATTACCTGGGTAAAATCGTAGTAGTTTTTAGGGCAAATTCTGGAAAGCATCAGATAAGACCAGCACTTTAATTTGTTTTAAAAATAACCAAATTTGTTATGATATTCAATGCATGATAGCATGCACAAAGTGTTCAGTGAATATTTCAGAAAGGTAGAATAATTTATTCATTACATTCATAAATGTTTTGAAACGTCTTGGTTGTCCTTTATAACACTATCATGTTATTTGTTCATATTGTGTGAACTATTATTAAATGAGTTTTATATAATTTTAATGTGTAGCATTTTTAACAAATGTCATATCTTTTGTTTAGAAACTTTTTCTAATCCCCCCCCCAGTTTTTTTATATTGGATTTTTTTCCCCCTTTTACAGACAAGGAAAAAAGTTTTGATTAGTGCTTTTTTGAGAGCTCTAAGAGATCCATTTCCTCCTGCTAGGACTGCAGCAATTTTAGCACTTTCTGCAACAGAACATTACTATAGTATTAATGATTGTGCAACAAAAGTTTTGCCAGCTTTGTGCCACTTTACCGTAGATTCAGAAAAAAGTATAAGGGATCATGTAAGTTGCTTTTTAAATTATATTTTTAGTAACAGAGATACATAATTTCAAAACTGACTTTTTATCCATGTCACTTTTATGGTCAATTTATATTTTAAATTGTTGCCTTCAAATGTTTTTTGCCATATATATATATAGTAGTAGGTAGGAACATTGCAGCGAATTTGCTAAAAAGTTACCAGGAGCTGCAGCTCCACGAAATATTGTACACGTACTACATAAATAATAAGAATTTGTCTGGATAACTGAAAAAACTGTAATATGCTATAAAACTGCAAAATTTATCTGGAACTTGCTAATGCACGAAAATAATTAATCTGCCGTTGTGAAATGTGAAGTTAACTCAATGAAAAATAGATCGACGGAAAAAATATATGTATAAAAGGAAGGTATAAAAAACATAGATTATAAAATGTCCATATATAAAATGCCTATACATAAAAAATTAAAACTAAAATGAAGACACAAAATGCATCAAAACTATTTACAATAAACAAATATTAAAAAGCGGAAAAATGGTAAATTAACCCACTCGTACTCTCAGTTGGCTGTTCCAGGGAAAAAAACTGTTTTATGAAATAGGTTAAATACCATTACGCGTTTCGCCAAAACAAACCATTGAAGCTCTTGTTTAATGCCAAATAACCTTCATAAAAGAACATTAGTATTTCCAAAAAAATTTTTTGGAATAAATCTTTTTTTGTGGCTCCACTGCTCTGTTCTTTTTTCCCGACGCGTCCGCTGAAAAACACATTAAGGTGTCAAAAGCTTATAACTTCCGAGGCAATGTAAATAAAAATCAAAATCAAAGTAGAAAATAATATAAATAGCGGTCTGCTATTAGTCAAAATCACAACAACGTATGGGTGGTTCTTAAACCTTAAAGAATATGTAACTTTTATAAAGAAAGGTGCTGTAAACAAATAAAAATGTAATCAATTTTGTAATAAAAAAACGTCGCAGGTCTTATTAGGACCAAAACCTAGACAACAAACGAAAAAACTGACCTGAGAGGTTCTGTCCTCACTTCGAAAATTTTTGGAAAAGGGCGCAAAATCCCTTCTTCCCTAACCAACCTTCCTTATTGTAAATGACGTCGTCATTCAACTATAAAATCTGAAGAGGCCAATGGGCTGATTGTAGGTTGACGAATCTTGTCCCCCCCTTTTTTTTATAGAAGGGGTGACAGATGAGAAAAGACACGGAAAACAAATGGCATCATCAAGTGTAAGAAGAACAAACTGTTAAAAAAAGAAGTGAAAATGGCTATTCAGCTAAAATTACTTATTTTTGGGCCTCAAAAGAAAGTGGTGAATTGGAAAAAAAATCATTTGTTATAAAGTCGTCATTCTTCAAGCAGAGGGCTGTCCAAGCTACTAGGAAAAATGAAAAGGCCCGATTTGTTAATAAAGCAGAGTTTGGCTTCTAAGTACTTTAACTTTAATAATAGTATTAAAGTAAAGTGCCAAATTTTGGAGGAAAGAATGTTTGTAAAAGATTAACTGTACATTTATACAATTTACATTAAAGAATCTGAATTAGCCATCCATCATGCCTTCCGGTAGGCTTTGACAAAAATTCATTATCCAAACAAATTATCTAAAAATGGGGACAGGCGAAATGCCGCTTTTGTTAAGGTCTTTATTAAATTATTTTCTGAAAGGAATTTGGTTATATGTTTTGTCAAACAGTGTGACGAAGTGCAGGTAATGGAATGGGGTGGCTAAATTATATAGCTGTCTGAGTGAAGAACGTGGAAGGGTAGAAAACGGTAAGGTGAACAATTACGGGCGATGCCTGTTGAATAGTCGACCAAAAGCTGCGTATGTAGCCATCAAACAGATAATAATGTGTTATGAATAGATTATAGTTGAACTGTGTTAGGCAATAATTAGGACAGAGCCGAAGGTCGGTCCTGATCATACGGGACGAAAAGAACGACGCGCAGATCGCGCACCGCGGGTCAGCAGACGAGCCGTTAAGAAGAAGAGACCAAGGTAACTCAGAAATAGATAATTAAAGAGCGTCATAGGAATCTACTGCATTAATTTGCGGGGGGAGGAAAAACGGATATGTGTGTATATTGTATGTTGTAGTCAGGCGGTAAGGCGCTAGGTGGGGATCGGAGAGGGGGGAAATATGAGCGTGCTTCGAGGTACAGATTATAGCGATGGTGAAAAGGGCGGAGTAATGGCGATCATCCTCAATGAAGGACGAGACCAATGGATCAATGTGGAGCAACATGTGGGGGTAGATAGGCGGGCTGGAGCAGCACAAATCACTACATCGGAATCACGACAAATGGCACTTCGCGGGTGCACCAGGTGGACAATAAAGGGCGGGCGCGCACGGTGCGACACAGCGAAAAATGTCCACCCAGTGGGAGGTCCCTTGAAGTGTTGGATGGTGAAATAGGCTGAGTGAAGTACAACAAAACAGGGGAAATAGTAATAGGTAGTAATAGCACACAGACACTGGCTCGTAATAATGGAGGGGAATATGTGCAGCATTGAAACCTCTTCATTATTCAGGGGGAATTGAGAAAGGAACTCGTGACGAGATTAGTGAATCATGGATAAGAAGAGGCGCAGTAGGCTGGTACACAATAAAGGAAATTCGGGTTCAGAGCGGAGGTGGTAGCAAGGGTTAGCCAAGAAACGTAGGCGGGTGGTAAATGGATCGGCAATATTTAATTACACAAGAATGAGACAGTAATGGCCTTTATATTACGAGGTATAGGGACTTGCAAATCAAGGCCAGGTTGCAAGTGCAGGGTAAAGGGACGAAAGGGGAAAAAATCAGAGTGTATATATCAAGAATCAAAGCACGTTGATGAAAGCGAAAGTGTTCTTGTGTTTGGGGTGGGTGTATGTGCGAAAACGGACATAAAGTCAGATAGATCGTTTAAATAGAAAACTGTTGGTACACAAGGTTCCGGACGAAAATGAACGGGCGGGGGCATTGTGGGCGAGATAGGTGCAGTGGGGAGCGATAAGAAAGAACAAAGGAGGACGAACGGCAGGAAGACAGGCAAGAGGGTGTGACGATGTAGGCAAGAAAAATCCGGGAAAATTGGTATAAAAAGAGGGGGGGTGATACCGGTGGATTAGCTTAGGTCTTCGTGCTGGGCGGGAGATAATGATGTGGCGCCCTGGGGCAGAAAAAAGGGGAGGGAACGGAGAAAAAAGAGAAGGAGGGGGGCGGGGGAGGGGGGCGGTGAATGTAGGTCGAGGTTACGCGAATAGTCACTTGGAGCGGGGGGGGGTGGGTATGTGGTATGGTCACCAGTGACGAGTAGGGAGTGTTACTATTTAGTCGTTTGGGGGGGGCGAGTATAGAATCGAACGCAGACAGCTTCTTGAGACAACAGAGAGCAGACTGACATGGGGGGCTAGGCAAGATTGCGCTCATTGCCGTGGAAGAAGATGAAAACTTAAGTTGGTGCTAGACTCGGGTGGGCACTATAAGACAGTGACCCAGAGTCTTTTTCAATGGAATGCATACAGTCACAAGTCGGTTAGATTCCGGGACGTCGTCGGCCTTCGGCGATGCCCGGAGTGCGATTTTTCTGGATTTTAGATCATCAGTTTAAATCTGTAAAATGGCATGCAGAAATTAAATTAAAATGAACTGTAATGTTCGAATAAAGAACAATTATGATCTAAGGGTTACAAAAAAAAAGCTAATATTATTTTCTTTACTTTATTAAACATTTCTTTCAAAGACGGAGTACATCGAGAAATACTACATTGAGTAAGCAATTATAAGCCAAATAAATAAAAATCTGCCCTTACGATAAGGATAGTGCTGACGATCACTTCCAATTCATTGCACGCGGCTGCGGAAGAATGGATTAAGATAAACAAGTCTAGATAACGCGTAAAGTTAGAATAACAAAGCGTTAAAGTTTAGATAAACAAAGGATAATGCCTTTATCCATTTTTTGCAGCAATTCCACTTTTTGTTAATGGACTCGAAGAAACTTTCGCTTTGTATATTCCTTTACATATTAGTAATATATATCGCAAATTCTATTTGACTTAATCGAAAGTTCAAGCTTACTTTTATAAAATTGCTCTAACGTCTGCAAAAAATAATAATCCAGATCCAATTCGAAATTAAGGACAACGCAATCGCAACATAACTGAATAGATATTAGATAATTTTAGCTTAGCTTATCCCGTCCGTTATACATTAAATGTGCATTCGTAAACGTATTTTGCGCACGCGCACACGCAAATTCGTAGCGGTAAAGGTCTTTCTGCGCATGCGTTGCGTCAACGCGATGCATGCGCAGAAAGGTTGTAGCTTTGAGGTTCGGATTATAGATCATTCCGGATTATGGGTGTCCGAATTAACGACTTTTGACTGTATATATTTAATGAAATGATAAAGAATCTGTATGTAGTGTAAAAATGTGTCCACTGTGTAAAAATGACAGCATGTATTGCCACCCAAGTTTTAATATGCGCAGTCCGTCGTCAAACATCTGCACTCTGACACCGACTTTTTAATTTCTTTTGTATTTATTTTCATGTTTTTTACAAGAATTTTTAATTACAAACTCAGTGGTCCGAAAGTGAGGAACATCAATTGTATTCAAAATAAAACATTTTTGCTTCCAGTGCACCAGACTGTTGTCATTTGGCAAAACATAAGATATTTATTTTTCAATTTTAATCAATAAACTAATAAGAAATATATTGCCATTCCTGGAAGTAATTTCCCCCACACTCCAGCATGTTGCCATTCATTGAAACTAAGTTATTTAATTTTCAGCTTTAGTCTGTAAAGTTATTGAGTAACATATGAAGGGATTTAAAAGCAATGAAAGCAGTTTTTAAGAATATTTTTTCTACATTTTAATATGTTTGACATAAATAAAAATGTATTAAAGTCATGAGATAGCCAGTCAGAAATATTTTTATAAAATTACACTGGCTAGATTCATTAAAATCATTGTATACTTTTTCTTTTTTAGCTATTTTAGGCAACTGGCC